GGGGGGGCAGGTTGAGGCCAGGTACTGCCCCAGGGCAGGTGGCCTTGCAGCGGACAAGGACTGGTGCGACCAGTGACAGGGACTTCTGAGGGTCCCTCGCAGCCCTCGGCCTCAGGACAAGACGTGTGAGGGCAGCTGCAAAGCTGAAGATCACCACGTGCCACAGCTGCGGCAGCCACGGCCCCATCGATCTGACTGTGGCCAGTGCCTGCCCAGGTGGATGCTGGGAAAAGGAGAGGCCCACCGGGGAGGTGAACTCAACCCACACTGCAGGAGGACAGAGCCCCCCCACAAGGTCAAGGCTGCTGCCGCTGGGTGCAGGACCAAGCAGGTTCCCCTGGGGTTGTGGGTGGGAGATAAAAGTTACTGGGGAAATGTAGTGGGAGATTTCAGGCCTTTTCCTATCTTGACATGCAAGTTCCCAATGTGAAAAGCGAAAATAAAATAAGAGCAAATGCTGTGCATGGTGGCACACGCCTGTAATTCCAGCACTTGGGAGGCTGAAGCAGGAGCATTGCCATGAGTTCGAGGGCAGCCTGAGCTACATAGCAAGACCTGTCTCAAAACAAAATAAGAACTACCTCGCCGGACATGGTGAATGCCTGTAATCTCAGCACTCTGGGAGGGTGAGGCAGGAGAGTCTCAAGGTGTAGCCCAGCCTGATTGTTCAGTGAGCCTATCTCAAAATGCAAATTAAAGAAGGGCTGGGGGTGTAACGCAGTGCAAAGGACTTGGTTTCAGTGCCAGGTACCGCCCCCTCCAAAGTTACCCCAGAGAATCATCCTTGGGGCTGTGCGGAAACCAGGCAACGAAGCTGCCGCAGTGGTGCAGCCTGCTCCCTCAGCTACTCGGAAACTGGACTGCGGATCGCCTGAGCCCAGGTGTTTGGGCAGGGGCTGCCTTGGCAACAAAGTGAGACCCTGTCCCAGGAAACAAACCAAAGCAACAGCAGGTGGTGATCAGACGGCTCATCCTGTTGGTGCTCTGCTGTATCTGTCCCTCTGGCTTCCGCCTTGGCCACGGGGATATATTTCACTTATTTATTTTGCAGATAAAGTCTCACTCTTGCCTGGACCGGCTTGGAATTCCTCGGCTCAGGTGACCACCTGCCCTTGGCCTCGAGCAGCTGGGATGACAGGTGCACGTCACTGTGCTGAGCTCTATTCTATGTAAAATAACAAGATACCGTGTTAAAAAGAGCAGCTGGAGGCGTGGTGGTGCATGCCTATAATCCCAGCACTTTAGGAGGTTGAGTCAGGAAGATGGAAAGTTCAAGCCCAGTCTGGGTAATTTTTTTTTTTCTTTTTCTTTTTTTTTCAGTCTGGATAATTTAGCAACTTAGTGAGGCCCTGTCTCAAAATAAAAAAGTAAAGAAAGGTGTGGGGAGGTAGTTCAAGGCAAAGGCCCTGGGTTTAATCTCCAGAACCCTAAATAAATAAATCAACTGATGAATAGGTAAATGTGTGTATCTACATGGTGGAATACTATTCAGCTACGAAAAGGAACAAACACATGCTAAATACAACAAATTTGAAAACATGCTAAGTGAAAGCTGCTGGGTACACAAGGACAGATATTGTATGACTCCATTGACAAGAAGATGAGCTATCTGGGCCAGTTCGCAGTGGGGAGGGCAGACAGACAGCCAGGTGGTGCCTGGGCCGAGGGGAGGAAAGAGAGTAAAGAGGCAGTCCAGGACATGAGCTTCCTTTTAGGGTGAGGTAAAACCTGTGGAACTAGAGAGGGCAAAGTTGTGAGCCCTGAATGTCCTAAGTTTTCACTGAATTGTGCACTTTAAATCGATCGCAGTGGTCAATTTGATGTTATGTGTATTTGATCACCATAAAAAGAAACCCAAAGCCAGGCATACAGACACACTAGAATCCTAGCCCTCTGGGAGGCTGAGGCAGGAGGATCACAAGATCAAACCCAGCCTGTGCAACTTCACAACATAGTGAAACCCTGGCACCATCTGTCAGTGTCCTTCAGACAAAGCCGCGTCGGTGACCAGTGTGCTATTTACCCAGCCTCCCGACTCATTTCTGTTACCTGTCCGGTCCCTGAAGCTTTTACATTTTTGGTCCCTGATTAAACCATAAACTGCCTTCAAAAAATTTTTTTTTGGCGAGGGGACAAGGTCTCGCTGTGTAGTTCAGGCTGGCCTTGAACTCACTATGTAGCCCAGGCTGGCCTGGACCTCAGGGCGATCCTCCTGCCTCAGCCTCCAGAGGTGCTGAGATGACAGGCATGTGACACCACAGTCCACTTGAATATTCTTTATACATCTAGTATGTCACTTTTTGTAGATTCCTATCCCTGAAGATATCATTAAGCTTCTTTCTTTCCACAAAGCCCAGCTGTTGGAGAGCCTGTGCCTGATGATGTGGGTATCTGACGTATCCGAAGTTCTGCCTCCGCTTGCCTCACTCATGGGTGTCGTATTTCCTTGTGACATCTCTAGCTCTCTTAGACTATGCTGGACGCTGTGTTTTAAATTTTATTTATAGGGATAATTTGAGGCTTCCCTGCCGAGATGATTTATGTTTGCTTCTGCCAGGCTCCTGAGATCCCTGCTCCTCTGGGGCTGCCGTTCCCCGCCCGTGCCAGCCGTGCAAGTGCTAGTTCTGCTGTGGTCAAAGCCCGGGTGTGATGCTGGCTTACACGCTGTGCTTCTTGTTTGTTTGTTTGTTTTGTTTTGTTTTTGGCTTTTCAAAACAGGGTCTTACTATATAGTTCAAGCTGGCTGTGAAGTCCCTAAGTAGCCCAGGCTGGCCTCGAACTTGTGCCACCCTCCTGCCTCAGCCTCGCAAGTGTTGGAATTACAAGGTGTGCGCCACCGTGCCAGGCAGGTTGTGATTGTGAGCACCGAGTTGGCGACTTCGTGTTTCGAGTTTGACGTCTCAGGGCGGGGGGACTGATGCCATCTAAACTGGCAAATGCCTCATTCGGGGACCCTCCTTCCTGGCCCCACCTGGAGCTCGTTGTTGAACATTTACTGGCCCAAGGAGCCTGACTACGGGCTCTGTTACGGGGAAGATCTCCTGCTGAGTGCAGGCCCTGGACTTTAATTTTCTGGCTTCTTGCTCTGTGGAACCACTCAGAGTCCAGCTCAGATCCGCTGGGGTTGGCAAACATCTGCAGGGGTGATGTGGCTTTCTTGCTGTACATCTTGCAACATTTCAAGTTTTTCCTTTTGCTTTGTTTTGTTTTGTTTTTAAGGCAGCGCCTTGCTAGGTAGTCCAGACTGGCATTGAACTCACTATGTAACCAGGCTGGCCTTGAATTCATGGTGATCCTCCTGCCTCAGCCTCCCGAATGCTGGGATTACAGGTGTGTATTAGCACTGTCAACATGTTAGCAGTAAAAGAAGTGGGTTAGTTATTGCTCCAGTCAAATATCTTCACCTCTCTTTGCCACATCTGTAAAACAGAGATGAAAACAGTGACACCAGCCTCACAGGGTTGTGATGAGGTCGTATCTGGCATGCACTGGGGACAGCGTGGGTACAACAGCACACCAGAAAGCCTTTGCCAAGTGCGGGACCTGTGTGGTTTCGGCATCCGAAGACACGCTCCAGCGGTCAGAGCAACGCCTCTTCCCTGGGCTGCATTTATGCAGCTGGGAATCCATCCTGCCGCGGGGTCTCCCAGGGCGAGAGCGGAGGGTGAGCAGCCGTCGAGGCCGTCCGGGAGTCGCAGCCAGGGAGCAGCCGGCTCTGGGGCTTCGCGGACCTCAGCGGTGGGGATGGGGACGGAAGTCAGCCTCGAGGGAGGCCTGGCACTGCGGAAATTGGCCCGTGCGGTACCTCGCTCCCTCGGAGCAGGGGGATGAGCTTCGCCACCGACCATGGGAGCAGCGAGGTCCCAGGTCGCCGTGGGACTGTCAGCCACCACGGGCCTTTCGGTGTGTTTCACACGGGCTGGGAGACCTGGGGAGCAGCTCTGAGCGCCCCAAACACCACAGTGAGTCTCTCTGCATACTTTTTTTTCTGGCCTATGACCACAGTTATAAAAGCATCACCAGCCCACAGACCAGTGGACCAGCGAGTCGCCTGCTCACCCACAGCGGGCGGGCTGGCCCACTGGGAAACGGAAGGGGCGGGGTTGACGCTCAGGGCGGAGCGCTGGCTCAAAGACCACGAGGCTTGTGTTCAAAGGTGGAGAATAGCTCCAAGTGTTCCTTTAAAATCAAGGGCTTCAGCACAGAAACTGCATGTCTCAGTGACTATGAGTAAAGTCAAATCTCTCTACACACGAGCTTGGTAAATTCTTTTTTATGATACTGGATATTGAACCCGGCCTCGTGCATGCTAGGCAAGTGCAATTTGTTGTTGTTGTTGTTTTGTTTTGTCTTTTTGAGACAGGGTCTCGCTATGCATTTAAGGCTGGCCTTGAGCTCACTGTGTAGCCCAGGCTGGTCTCGAACTCAGAACGATCCTCCTGCCTCAGCCTCCCGAGTGGTGGGATTATAGGCGTGCACCACCATGCCCAGCTACATCCCCAACTTTGTTTTTGAGGCAGGGTCTTGTTGAGTTGCCCAGGTGGCCAGTAGCACACTGCAGAGGAACGCTTGTCCTCTCTGTGCCGTCTCCTGCGGTGGGAGCCACAGCTGAGAACGCTCTTTTCTTGGGCCAGCCTGGCTAGTGGTGGCCCGCGCCCCAAGCCCCTCGGCACTTCTGTCTGGGAGACACTGCTGCTCTGTAGCTCCTGGGACTCACACAGCTCTGCTTCCGGGCTGGGAACTCCTCCAGCCTCGGTGGCTGGGAAGCAAAGAAGGGTGAACGTCTGAGGGTCCTATTCAGGGCCACCCCCTCAAAGGCCCCGCCCCACAAAGGCCACGACCTGTGACCTCACTTCCTCCCGCAAGCCCCCACCCCTCTCAGGGCCCACTGCCACCCAAGAGAGCCACAGGCTGGCAGCCCTCCAGGACCAGCTTTCACAGAGAGGGAGCCTGCAGTACTGGGGCTTTCACCTGCCATGTTTTCAGCCCCCGCCCCCACATACACCTAGCATGCACTGACAGCTGAGTGACATCCTGCTCCATAGCGACACCACACTCGGTCCATTCACTCACTGACGCACACCAGGTTGTTTCCACATTTTAGCTAGTATGAGCAATGTTGCTATGAACGTTAGGGTTTGGGTACCTTGTGTGGGTGCCTATTTTCCTTTCTCTTGGCTACACAGCAAGGCAGGGAGTCGCTGGGTCACATGGGAACTCTCCATTTAACAACTCCAGGAACTGCCAGACTGCTCTGCAGAGCAGTATCACTTTACATTCCCACCAGCAACGTGTGAGGGTTCCAGTTTCTCCACATCCTTGTCAACACTTAGTATTATCTATCTTTTTATTTAGCCATCCTGGTGGAGGTGAAATGGTATCTAATTGTGGTTTTGATTTTGATCTTCTTTTGTTTGTTTTTGTGACAGGTTCCACTGTGTAGACCAGGCTGCCTGAGTAGTTGGTATTACAGGCCTGCACCACTCCATCCTGCCTCAATGCAGCCTTTGTGTATTGGTGTGTGTGTTGGGGGGATGTTTCTTGAGACAAACTCTATGTAGTCCAGGGTGGACCTCAAACTCATGGCAGTCCTCCTGCCTCAACCTCCCAAGTGCTGCGATTACTGGCGTACACCACCAAACCCAGCTCAGTGTAACTTTTTAAAGCAAGGTTCATGCTTTGTTTCACAGTGTAGCTCAGGGCTTAGCACACAGAGTAGCACACCCCAGGGACACTGGGACATGGTGCTGTCTCTTAAAAGAGAAAAAAGCCAGGCGTGGTGGCATGCACCTATAATCCCAGCACTTGGGAGACTGAGGCAGGAGGATCACCTCGGATTGGAGGCCAGCCTGGGCTACAAAGTGAAACCCTGTCTCAAAATGAAAAAAAAAAAGACAAAGGTAGAGATGACTGACACAAGGGATAAGCAGGCGTCTGTCCCAGCTTTATCATGTTCCGGGCTGCATCTGGCAGTCACCAGCGGTTGGGGGGTATGCATGTGCGTGTGACTGCATGCAGGGACAAAGGGGCAATGAGAAAACTGTGGTTGCTTCTTGTGTATGCGTGCCTGCCTGCTGTGCGTGTATGCGTGCCTGTGTGTATGCATGCCTGCATGTGTATGCGTGTGCATGCTGTGTGCATGTGTGTGCATGTGTATGTGTGCATGTGTGTATGCGTGTGTGCATGTGTGTGTGTGTGTGCCTGCATATGTGTGTGTGTGTGTGCACTTGCTACTGCGGATCGAACCCAGGGCCTTCACACTGAGCTACATCCCCAACTCTTTTACATTTGTTTTTGTTCTGTCTTTTTGAGACAGGGTCCCACTGTGCAGTTCAGGCTGGCCTTGAGCTCACTTTGTAGGTCTGGTCTTGAACTCAAAATGATCCTCCTGCCTCAGCCTCTTGAGTGCTGGGATTACAGACGTGTGCTACCACACTCGGCCCTTTTACATTTTTGAGACAGGGTCTCACTAAGTCCCTAAGTTGCCTAGGTTAGGCTCAAACTTGCCACCCTCCTGCCTTGGCCGCTCAGCGTCCTGGGAGGACAGGTGTGGTGATTCTCTGACCCGAGGCCCTGCTCCATCCCAGCACCTCCCTGCCCTGGGACTCCGAGGGCTGGGAAGAGGCCACCGGAGAACTTGAGGCCCAGGCCCAGAAAGGCGTCAGGAGCGCTTTTACCTTTGCCGTGGGCTGGTGCCGCCCGCGACTCCTGGGTGAGCTCTCCTGGCTCCTTGGGGTGACAGTGGAGCCTGAGCCAGGTGTTCTGCCTCAGCCCTGCCTCTGCTGCTGCCCCCGGCCCCAGGAGACCCCAGGAGGCCCCAGGCCCTGGCCGCTCCCCCGCTCCCCCTGGGCCTCCCCTCCCTGCCCCACACTCAGGCCCATCCTGTGTCGTCTCCTAGGCCGGGGCAGCCCTTGGGCCCCCGGGCAGGTGGCACTTGGTGGCATGCACTGAGAGGAGAGCCACACCATAGACGCCACGTCCCCGATGTGCTGTGACCTCCCTTGGTGACGAGAGTGGCAGGGAGTGGGAGGTTTGGCCCCTTCCTTGGGGTGACTTGGGCACAGCTGCCCTGGGCACTTGGCGCTCGACCTGAGAGACCGCCACTGCGACCTCGCCAGGCCTGGAGAGTGAGCAAGGGCGCTGAGGGCCCACGTTAACTGTCCTGCGATGACGCGGTCTCCTCTGTCCCTTCCCTCCGCCTCTCCCCTCTCCCCAAGCCCCAAAGCCTGGTTGTGACAGGGGAGGAGGAAGCAAGCCGCCACGGTCCCCAGGGCCCCGGATCTGTTTATCAGCCCTTGTGAAAGAGCTGCCTGTGGGGACCGTGGCCAAATCCCTGAAGGACTCACGCTCGCCGAAAACACCCGTGTCCAGGGCAGCGACAGCTGGGGGACACAGATGTTTCCAAGATCTGCTTCCTCTGTCACCTTGACGCCCAGGGAGGCCAGGCTGGCACAGGGTGGGCAGGGAGGGAGGGGACTGGGAATGGCAGGCACTGGTAGCTTTGAAAGCATCCACTGGGGAACGGAAAGCTGCAGGGCAGAGCGTGGAAGCAATTCAGGGATGCAGAAGGCCGAAGCAGGAGGATCACAGGTGCAAGGCCAGTCTGGGCAACTTAGTAAAACCCTGTCTCAAAATTAAATAGTAAGGAAAGGGCTGGGTATGTAGCTCAGCACTCTCTGATTCAATCCCAGTACAAAAAAAAAAAAAAAAGAAGAAGAAGAAGAAGAAGAAAGGTATATATATTTTACTTTTCGTTTGTTTGTTTGCATTTTTGAGGCAGGGTCTGGATATGCAGTTCAGGCTGGTCCTGCACTATGTAACCCAGGCTGGCTTTAAACTAGAGGCGATCCTCCTGCCTCAGCCTCCTGAGTGCTGGGATTACAGGCATCTGCACCAGACCTAGCTTTGTCCCTATGTTTGTGACCTTGACACACTGAAGACTGCAGGGCAGGGACTTCGCACAGGTTCTGGATGGACGACCTTGGCCTGTGAGGTAGAGCGGGGATGGGCGGGTTATAGCTGGCAGGACAGACCCTGGTCGCTGTCTGGTTTTGTGTAGTGTGGAAGCTAGGAAGGGTGACAATGGTTTTAAAAAGGCAAAAGAGGAGCCAGGTATATAACTCAGTGGCACAAGTGCCTTCCTCGCAAGTGCAAGGTCCTAAGTTCAATTCCCAGTACCCCCCACCCCCCAAAAAAAGGCAAAAAAGCCAGGTGTGATGGTGCACACCTATAATACCAACACTGGGCAAGCTGAGGCAGGAAGATCACCATGAGTTCGAGGCTCACAGTGAGACCCTGTCTCAAACAGGAAGTAAAAAAGTCAAGAGAATACTATGTCCTGATGGTTGGCGATCAGCATGACACCCACATTTCAGCGGCTATAAGTAAAGCCGGACTGGAACTCGGCCAGGATTCCTCCTCAGCCGACTGGAGACAGGATTCAGCCCTGCGAGCCTTGATATTTACTCTCGGGCCCTGGGAGGCCTGGCTTCCACTTCATTCAGAAACCAAGTCAGCTTTGAAAAGGCACCGAAGTTTCAAGTTCACTCGTTCAGTCATTCTACAAATATGTGCCGGGGCTGAGGGCCACGTCAGCAGAGCCCCAGTGTGGGCAGGTGCAAAGGGGTCCCAACCCTGGGGCTGGGGGAAGCGCGCAATCGCCCGGCGCGCCCCAGCTCCCAGCAGTTTCTGCCCCCATAATAAAGCTGCTCTCGTGTCAGGAGTGCGACTCTGGCCAGTCACCGGGGCTTTGCGTCTCACCCTCACTACCCCTCTGCAAGCTGTTGCAGAAGGAAACAGACTTAAGGCTCAGCCACAGCCCCAGGGAGGAGCAGAGCCGGGCAGGGGCCCTGCTGTATAGGTCAGGATGGCTTGAACCTGTGGAGATGCTCCTGCCTCAGCCTTCCAGTGTTGGGATCACAGGGGTGCACCACCACGCCCTGCTTTGACCCTATGTCTTGACACAGAAACTCTGTCTCTGTCTCCTCATCCTCTGTTTCTGTTGTCACAGCTTTGTCATCCCTGCTTGCTGCAGAGTCTGCACTCTCTCTGCTGCCCATCCCGTCCTGGGCCAGAGCGCGGATGTCCAACATCGTCCCTGCCTGGGTGTCCCACGGCTGGGCCCGGCCCCAGCGGGAGGTGCAGCGGCCTTCAAGGCCCAAGAGGGGCACAACGGGTGACTGCACCCCTGTTACTTAGGGGAGCGACAACCACGCCCCTGCAGGAGGGGTCCTGGCAGCGGCCAGTTCCCCCTGTGGGTAAGGACAGAATCAAAAGAAGCTGCTGACACAGGGCCAGGCTCTGCCTGATTCTGAGCTCTTTTCTGAGGAGGACAGCGAGTCCCTGGAGCGCTCCCTGTTCCCTAGAACGTCTCAGGAACGTGCTCACCGGCTGCCGCTGCATCTCCTAAGTCTGCAGCAGTTGCAAAACTGATTCATACGTTTGTTTTTCTTTGTGTGCTTCCTTAAAAGAACAAAGTGTAAACTAGGTTCTGAAGCGCTGGTGACATGCTCCGATGAGTGGCCGCCTGCCCGAGGTCGCTGTGACACGGCCCGGCTTGGGGCAGCTCCGTGTTCTAGAATGTTCCACAGACGCTGGCCAGACTAAATTGCCAGCCGGATGCCATGTGGTGGGGAGGCTGGGTGTGTGAAGCCGGACACCAGGGCCTGCTTGCCCTCTCGCAGGCTGTGCTGTGGGGCAGAGGCCCTTCCCATGGCCAGGGAGGCCGTGGCCAGGGTTGGCATGGACGGGCACGCTGGGCTGAGCATGCTGGGGCCAGCGCTGGGCACATTCGCCCAGAGGAGACCTCAGAACCACCGGCTGGACTCTAAAATCAGACTTTGCCGTGAAGGACCAGCCAGACGGCTCCCCTTGAAAGAAGAGCATTTGGCTCTATTCCGTGCACTGGTGTGTCCAGGGCTGGCGAGGACGCTTCCTGAGCCCCTCAGTTGACTTTAAGCAATGCACACGGGTCTGGCCCAGGTGCTGAAGTGTAGTCTTTAAAGTAATGCAAAAGGTCAGTGACATGCCGTGCGTAGCTCCCAAGTAACCTGTGTGAGGTCACTCTTTCTGCACCTCTCGCAATGCCTGTTGCAGGGGCGATTCAGGCCTCTTACCCAGCCCAGCTCGGGCACTCACCTGCCTCCCACCATCCTCACAGTCACTCACCCCTGAGCCTCTGCCCTCTTCACGAATTAATAAGACCCAGGTCCAGCCCTGGGTCGAGGCCTTTGTTCTGGGTTAGTCATTGTTCTAACTGGACTTAGGACCCCTTGGCTCCCCACAACTACAAATATGCCTTGGTGTCTTTATTCTCGCTGTGGGTTGCACTGGGAGTGGTAGATTGGAATTAACTTATTGGAATTCCAATAACTTTTTTGTGTGTGTGTTTTTGAGACAGGGTCTTGCTATGTAGTTCACATTGTGTTCTTGGGCTCACTTTGTAGCCCAGGGTGGCCTTGAACTCACAACGATCCTCAAGCCTCAGCCTCCCGAGTGCTGGGATTACAGGCCTGTGCCACCCAATAACTTTCTCCTGCGATTACAAATATGGACTCCTTGATGGGGCTGGGGATTTAGCTCAGCGGCACAGCGCCAGCCCGGCAAGCGCAAGGTCATGAGTTCGATCCCTGGTACTGGAAAACAAAACAAAACACAAAACAAAACAAAAAAAACATGTGGACTCCTTGGAATGGAGATGAGGTCCTGAAGAGCTTTTATATTTGCAGGTGTGGTGGTACATGCCTATGATCCCGGCAGTTGGCAGGCTGAGGCAGGAGGATCTCCCTGAGTTTGAGTGCACCCTGGACTCCATAGTGAGTTGAAGGCCAGTCTGACTTACATAATGGGACCATCTGATAAATACATACATACATACACACACACCCTAAACTTGGTGGCAACGTTCCCTGAACATTCAGAGCTGGGGCACTGGCCCCTGATTTTGCCCGCTGTATCTTTTGCAGCCCAGCAGGGTGTGGGTGGCGAGGTCACCGTGCTGTGAGGAGGTGCTGGCCTCTGTGGGACGCAGGGGGCTGCGTGTGGCTTCTGGGCCAGGTGCGGCACAGGCTCTGCCCTCTCCGAGGCGGCTGTCACCGGGGTCAGGCTTGGCCGGTGGTGCTTGTCCTAACGGTTACACGCAGCTGCTGGGGGCCCCCCAAGAAGGTGCTGTGGAGCCCAGGCCACCGGGCTCCCACCCCAACCTCACAACAGAAAGGGCCAGTGACACAGGGCCTCTGGGCCACACGCGTCACCAGAAGGTCCTGGCCACCCGCCCGGGCTGTGCACCCAGCACCCCAGCTCCTCGGCTTCCAGAAATCTGCTTTAATGTCTGAAGTGGGCAGGGTGAGAGCGGGGCGCGAGGCGGGCCGGCGCACACAGCGCCCTTTGTGCCCGAACACGTCCCCAGCCTCACGGGCCGTCCTCCCCAGGGTCTTCCGAGATGGTGAGGCCGAGAACTTCGCTCGCGAATATTTCCGCAGTGATTTCGTCTGGAAGTTCCTCTTCGAGACTGATTTCTGAACCTAGCCAAACAAAGAAACAAAGCATATGTCTTCCCGGCGATCAGGTTTTTAATACAGAGGAGTTCCTAAAAACAAGGAAATGATGCTAAACGAAAGTGAGAGATTGCTCTGTGCTGTGGTTTATCTTTTTTTTTTTATTTGACACAGGGTCTCGCTATGTAGCCAAGGCTGGCCTCAAACTCAGGATCCTCCTGCCTCAGCCTCCTGACTTCTGGGATTATAGGCATGCACCACCACACCAAACTCTATGCTTTGTTTTTGATTCCCTAAAAACCCCTGGGTGGAAAATGGTCCACATCCCTCCTTCACAAGATGGAGCGCTGTTAGCTGAGTCGCTGCAGACTGCCCTAGGACGCATTAGCGAAGCAGGCACAGCAGGGTGAGGCTTCAAGCTCCCTAGATGTGAGGGTTGGGAACGCTGCCCTCCGAGACCGGAAGCACGCCCTGAGTGGAACAGCAGAGCCTACAGGCTGGAAGTGACCACCGGGCACCTGCGGTCAGCGGGGCCCAGGAGCTTGGGGACGTCTGACATCGGGAAAGAACAGCGAGAGCAGAGCCTCCTGTGTTTATCCTTGACCCTGCCTTTGCCCCCGAGCGCGTGCTGGAGACGAACGCAGCCCGCGCAGGCTCACGGTGCGGGTGGACTGGCTCCTGCACTTCCCTGCTCAGCCCTCGAGTCAGGCCAGAGGACTAGAAGGGGAGCACCCCGGGCTACAGCAGAGACGGGGAGGAAGAGAGGATCTTCGTGCGTGTGGGCACCCCTGTGCGTGTGTGCGTGTGTACATGTGTGGCGCTGGGGATCCAGCCCATGGCCTCACACATCCTAGCCAATGGCTCTACCACTGAGCGATACCCCCGGCCAGGAGGACCTTTAAGAACATAGCTGGGCGTGGTAGCGCACACCTGTAATCTCAGCACTCGGGAGGCTGAGGCAGGAGAATCGCCACAAGTTGGAGACCAGCCTGGGCTACATAGTGAGATGTTTAAAAAACCAAAGAGAGAGGGAGATGGAGAGAAGAGAAAGAAAAGAGGGGTAAGAGAGAGAGAGAGAGGGAGAGAGACAGAGAGAGAGACAGAGACAGAGCTTTAAAGTGCCTCATGCTGCCGGAGTCCTCGCCTGTCCTTATCCACGCCTCCTGGGCCACTGCCACACCTGCCCCGGCTGGAGGTACAAGCAACAGGCTGGTGACACCCGGGGCCAGAAGACAGAGTACAGCGGAGCACAGGTGGGAAACAGAACTGCGCCGTCTGCAGCAGCTCAGTGCCCACAGCCACCTACCTCTGCAGGCCGAGGCTGCAGGCTCGGATTTCCAGCCCTCAGGGTTCAGGCCCGACAGCGTGGCGAAGCAGTCAGTCATCTCCTCCTCTGTCATGTGCTCACCTGCGGTGGACAAGGTGGCTGCTCAGTGCCGGGGCGTGTGGGGAGCAACACAGTGACGCACGGAGAAAGACCCGCTCAGCTTTCCACCAAGGCCCCTCGCCTCAGGTCTGCTCTGTTTTTCTGTTTTGGTTTGGTTTGGTTTTTTGAGACAGGGTCTCACTGTGTACCCCAGGCTGGCCTCCAACGCACAGAAATCCTCCTGCCTCAGCCTCCAGAGTGCTGGATTACTGGCATGAAGCACTACCCCAGCTTCAGATCCGCTCTAGTCTAACTGAGATGAAAAGGTCCCACGCAGAGAAGGTCCCTGACTCCCCACCGTCAAATAATGAAGGACACCGTAGTGTAGGTTTATTTCACAAATGCGTCCCAGTGCCGGGCGTGGTGGCGCACACCTGTGATCCCAGCACTCGGGAGGCTGAGGCAGGAGGATCGCCAAGAGTATAAGGCCAGCCTGGACTACAGTGAGACCTGGTCACAAACAGACAAACTGCAGAAGCAAACGCATCCCAGTCTCACAAAGGCCCTGAGAGGCTGGAACCTCGGGAGGGTGCCAGGTCAGGGCCCCTCCTGTGCCCGTGGTCCCCGGCCCAGCGCTGGTCCCACGTCACCTCTGGTGAGCAGCAGCTGCAGAAGCGCGTCCCTGCGCACCACACTCTCGCCTTGCTCGTTGGGGGTGCCCAGCACGGCGAAGCTCTGGCGGAGGCCGCGCAGGGTGTTGCCGAAGGGCGGCCTGTGGTTGACGTACACCTTGAGGAGGTCGGGCAGGTTGATCCTGTCAATCAGCTTCCCCGTGTCCGCGTACTCGCTGAATCTGATTTCGTTAAACATGTCCTCGATCTATGGGGGAGACGGAAAGTTCAGGCTGCCCTTGAGCTCACTGTGTAGCCCAGGTTGTGGTGCTCCTCCTGCCTCTGCCTCCCAGGATATGGGGAAGTCTCAGCCCTCAGGCCCTTTTGAGAAATAGGATCACTAGAGCCAGCAGGGGGCGCATGCCTGCAATCTCAGCACTCCAGAAGGCTGAGACAGGAAGATCACAAGTTCAAACCCAGCCAGGGCAATTTAGTGAGACCTTATCTCCAAAAATAAAAATGGGCAGGGGAGGTAGCTCAGTGGCAGAGCGCCCTTGGGTTCAGTCCCCAGCACTGAAAAAGAAAACAACCTAGGGTCACAGGAGATGAAATTAGTTAAACAAGGTCAAGAGGCCACACTGGAGAAGGGCGGCTTTCAATCCAGCGTGGCAAGGACAGGAGACAGACACAAAGGAGAAGGTGACACGGGAGGCGCAGAAGGACAATCCCAGGGACGCGGGCACCGCCGGAACCAGGAGGGTTTTCCCTGTGGGGTCACAGGGAGCGAGGCCCCGCGGGCGCCTGCACTTGGGATTCTAGAAGAGTCGATTCCTTGTTTTCAGCAGGCACGAGGCCCTGCATTCAGTGCTCAGCCAGCAAACAGACGTTTCAAGCACCCAGGTAGTTGTTACAGCTGCCGACAGATACAGCGTCAGTTCTCAAGTTTGCCGCAGCATAAGGACCAGGTAAACACGGCCCGTTTTACTCCCTCCCCTGGGGACCTCAGTGGACCAACCATTCCCCAGCCTGGTGAAGTAGATACTAGTTTCATTTTAAAGACAGAGTCTTCATTTAGCCTGTCCTTGTGGAACGTGACTGTAACCTCAGCACTCGGCAGGCTGAGGCAGGAGGATTGCCGAAAGCACAAGGTCAGCCTGGGCTCCATAGTGAGACCCTGTCTCAAAAAACACAGACAAACCAAAAACCAAAAAACAATCTTCCAAAATTTAGAAATGAGTTTGGCTGAATAAGGAAATAATTCAGCAGGAAACTCAAATATTGGACCCATGATCCTAGTAAGTTTAAGACAATTAACAGCACTATGATTTTCTTCCTCTCTTTCTTTTCTACTTCTATAGATTTTATATGTACCACAGATTATATGGGACACACATGTAATTTATGTGGTGTAGTTTTAAAAATAAACACTGAAGAAGCCGTTGGTCATTGTAAAGATCAACAAAATTGACGCAACTGAGCTAGGCCAGCCGAGAAATAAAGACTCCAGTGATTAAAATCAAGACCAAAGATGACGTCAGCTTCTACCCCACAGAAATAAAGGGGACACTGTGAACACCTGGACCCCCAGGTGCTATCACTGAGATGACGTGGATGAATTCCTAGGAAGACACAAATGAATACAATTCACTCAAGAGGAGGCAGAACAGCAAAACAGGCCTCTAGCAAGTAAAGAGCTGGAATCAGAGATCCTCTTTAACGTTCCCCCCTGTGGTTCTGGGGGGAACCCAGGGCCTTTGCACTGAGCTACATCACCTGCTTTTTTTTTTTTTTTTTTTTTTTTTTCTTTGAGACAAGGTCTTGCTAAGTCAGTAAATTCCTCAGGCTAGGCTCAAATTTGCTACCTTCCTCCTTCAGCCTCCAAGAATGCTGGTATTGTAGGCCACTAAGCCTAGCTTGAATTGACTATTTAATGAAATGAATTAATTGAAATTTTTTTTCAAGACAGAATCTTGTTATACAGTTTAGCCTGGATGTTGAATTCATTATGTAGCCCAAGCTGGCCTCAAACTCAAGGTGATCCTCCTGCCTCAGCCTCCTGAGTGCTGAGATAACAGGTATGAACCACCATACCTGGCTCTGAATTAGTAATTTAAAACTTCCCACAAAGAAAAGCCAAGGGCCAGATGGCTTCCCTGATGAATTCTACCAAATACTTAAAGAGAAATACAATACCAATTCTCTACAAACTCTCCTAAAAACAGAAGAAAAGGGAGGGAGTGAATAACATAGAAATATATTGTACATATTGAAGCCACCCTAAAACATGAAACTAGAGGGGGGCAGTGGGGAGGGGATTAAACCATGTGAGGTGCATGTATAAATCTGCCAAAATGAGAATTATGAATCTGCATGACTAGCCAGGTAGTGCACCCTGTAATCCCAGTATTCAGGAAGCTGAGGCAGGAGGATCCCTGCAAGTTTGAGGCCAGCCTGGGCTACCTAGCAAGATCCTGTTTCAAAAAACTAAAACGAGGAAGAAAGAGACAGACAGACACACAGGAAAGTCGAGATACTTGTAGATCACGTATCTGACAAAGAATTCTTCTCCCTCAATAATAAAAAGGCAAACAGTTGAACTAAAAAGCGGGCAAAAGCCGTGAGCAGCAAGTTCTCAGAAGGACACAGGAATGGGCAGGAAGCACAGGCAGGGGCCACGAGGGAGATACATCAAAGTATAGCGCGTGGCCACTTCACATCTATGGTGGCCACAGATGTGAGGGTGTGGGGAGGCGGAAGCTCTGCCATGCTGCAAGCAGGAACGCAACCCCGTGCCGCTGCTGCTGCAGAAAGCAGCTTGGGTGTTCCCCAAGTTAAGCACGGCTCCCATGTGACCCAGCAATCTCTCTCTCTCAGCAGATGCCCGACAGAAATGAAGACAGGATGTTCACACACAAATTCAGACACGAATGTTCCCAGGGGCCTTAGCACAATGCTGTGAAATGGAAACAACCCACTTGTCCACAGCTAACCTATGCGTAAATCTAAAAGGTCTGTCCACAGAGTGGAACGTTACGCTGCCATGAAAAGGACTGGCCCTAGAACAGGAAATGCATCTTAAAAACGTGTACTCTAGGCCAGGCGTGGTGGAGCACATTTGTGACTCCAGCACTCAAGAGGCTGAGGCAGGAAGATCATTGTGAATGTGAGGCCAGCCTGGCTTACATGGTGGGACCCGATCTCGAAAACAAAACAAAAAATAAAAACAAAAACAACAACGCACTCTGATAGACTATGCAAGTGAAAGGAGCCAACCGGAAACCCCATCTGCGTGGTTGTGTTTGCATGGATGCCGAGGGGGCAGCTCCATGGGGAGAGGGAGTTTGCACTTGCCTCCACCGCCTGGAGGAGAGGGCTGGGAGCATGGGTTTCTCTTTTGGATGAGGAAATGTTGTGAAAGTGGACTGTGGTTTTGGGCACCGGTGAATGTGTGAAAATCCACTAAATTCTACACTTTAAAAGAGTGAACTGAGCTGCACGTGGTAGCAAATGCCTGTAACCACAGCACTCTGGGAGGCTGAGGCAGGAGGGTCCCCGTGAGTATGAGGCCAGCACTGAACTATGTAGCACAACTCTGTCTCAGCCACCCCTTCCCACTGCCAGAAAAAGAGAAGGCTGAGGTGCAGACAGACGCACAAGGCCTGGGTTCAATTCCCAGTTAAAAAAAAAGCCCTGCCACCATCACCCCAGGAATCTAGCCAGGCCCATGGGACTGTGTTTCCCCTTCGGCTGGGCTGGGGATCAAACCGGGGCCCAGCGGGGGGTAGGCAAGCGCTCTGCCCCCCCCCCACCCCCAGCCCATCACCGGGGCTTTCAGAGCCCTCACGTTCCCAAGGCGACTTTCCAGGGACGGTCTCCTGGAGACACAAAGGGACTGGGCTGGTGCCGCGCGAGCGAGTCAAGGGCGGCACGGAGGCTGAGCGTGCGTCTCCTCCACGCAGAGCGCGGTCTTCAGCATAATGACACATTCACTACCCGGCACTGTGCACTAGGAGCCCGTCAAGACTAAAACCACAATCGGGACGCGCCTTGGGCGTGTTCCTGACCGTCCCCAGCCGCTTCCTCCTCTTAAAAAAGTGGTTAATGCACTCACCCTGTGCGATTTGTTTGTTTGGGTTTTTTTGAGACAGGGTCTCATGTAGCCCAGGCTGTCCTCAAAATGGAGGCGTCCTCCTGCCTCAGCCTCCCGAGTGCTGGGATTACAGGCATGCACCACCACACCTGGCTCTAATTAAGTTTTATGTTTGCCCATTAAACAGAGAGAAACTCGATACATGTGAACCCGGCCGGTTGGGTTCTTGTAGAAGGCCGGGCATGGGTGGCTTCCTGTGTGTGACGAGTGACTCCCCACACGGACCCTGCCCCAGACACCTGGACAAATGTGGCGCAGTCTCGTGTCACGGGTGCTGCTGCACCCCACTCTCTCCCGCTGCCCGCCAGCACCCCCTTCTGGTGGGGACGGTTTGGGCTGGCGGCTGTGCTATCCGGCCCCCTGCGGAGACCACAGGAGCCTCCTCTTCTCACTGGTTATTTATGTATTTATTTTGGTACTGAGGGTTGAACACAGGGCCTTTGCACTGGGCTATATCCCCAGCCCTTTTGAGCCAGGGTCTCTCTATTTTTTTTTTTGGTACCAGGAATCGATCCCAGGACCTTGCGCTTGCCAGGCAGGCGCTTATGCCACTGAGCTATAGAGTCTCTCTAAAAGATGATAAATTGCCCAGGTGTGGCTGGAACTTGGGATCCTCCTGCCTCAGCCTCCTAGAGTGCTGGGATTACAGGATGTCACACCATGCCTGACCCCCTCTGCTACTTATGTATCGCTCTTCTGGTGTGATAACCCCCTTATCCTTGGGGGACAGTTCCAAGACCTCTACCGGATAATACAGAGCTACAGATAGTTCCAAACCCCGTAATCACGTATTTTCTTTTCTTCTATTTTTTTCCTTTCAGTACTTGGGCTGGAACCCAGGGCCTCATGCATGCTAGGCAAGTGCTCTACCACTGAGCTCCATCCCAAACTCTTTATATTTTGATATAGAGTCTCACTAAACTACCCAGGCTCACCTCAAGTTTGCCATCCTCCTGCCTCAGCCTCCCAAGCAGCTAGGATCATAATGCGTGCCACTGTGCCCCGCAGTTTATCCTTTTATAGCCCTCTCCTGCGCTGCAGCCACCTGTTTGCAGTGTGAGACGCCACAGCAGAAGGAGTGCACGTTTGTTTTTCTCATCATGTTTGTTTGGTTGGTTTTGGTACCAGAAATCGAACTCAGGACCTTGCGCTTGCCAGGCAGGCGTTTATGCCGCTGAGCTATATCCCCGGGCTGAACATTTGTCTTTCTCCACAATTTCACAGGTGGAAGACTGGTTCTCACCACTGACCTCAGCAACCTCGGCGCCTGACTTTTTCTTTCTGTATTAAACAGAGAGCTTCCGCCTTCTCAGTTCAAGGAAGCACTTGATGCTTCCTCTGCCACATCCAGCTGCTGGCGTCACTCTGCTCACAGCTCGGGGCCATGAAGTAGAGGAGAGTGACGTAGCTTCCCTGTGGGACAGCAGGCCAGTGACAGGTACAGCTGCTCAGTGACTAACGCGCAGGCAGTACCCAGAGCGAGACTCCCGGGGCAAAGGGAAGGGACGGCTCAGGTCTTGGACAGGATGTGAAAGGAAGGTGCAAGATTTCATTGTGCACGGGGCTAGCGGGTATACACCTGTAATCCCAGCACTCAGGAGGCTGAGGCAGGAGGATCGCTGTGAGTTCAAGGCCAGCCTGAGCTACACAGTGAGACTCTGTCTCAAACAAATAAAATAAAATATGAGAGAGAGATCTGAATGACAAGTCCTACACCTTGACCCCAAGCCACAGTTGAGAGGCTGCTGGGTGCTGACAGCTCTGACATGCTGATCTTGCCTTGCACCCTGGGCTACCAGACGGATCTGGTAGAATCAAGAAATCGTGGATGGAGAACAGTCTGGTGATTCCTCAGGCAGACGTGGAGTTTGATAGCAATTCCTATCTGCCCATCCCGAAGAGAGATGAACACCCCCACCTCCGCAGAAGCTACGCAGGGATGTTCACGGCAGCAGTGCCCGTAACTGCCCAGAGTGGAAACGAGTGGCTACAGAAGATGCGGGACGTTCACACGGTTACACGGAGTGCTACACAGCCATAAAAAGCACGGAGTACTGACCCAGGCTGCAACTGGACAAACCTTGCAAACAGCACGCTAAGTGAAAGAAGCCAGATGCAGAAGGAGCTCAGCACAGCCGGGAGCTCCAGCGAGCAGAGCCAGGCAGCTGCTTCAGCCAGCGGCTGGGGCAGCATCGGCATCACCTGCAATCTTGTTTAGTGCCTCAAGGTATTCCAGGATTGCGTTAAATGCTTTATGTGTGAAGACAGACATAGTCCTGTCTTGCTCCGTCTTTCCGCAGGGGCTCACCGTTGGCTGCCAGCCTCCCCCTCTCTCTCCCTCCCTCTCTGCCCCTGTGGCACGCAGCCTCCCTGGACACTGGGTACTTTCTCTGGTGTCAGGGTACAAATCCCCCAAAATCTGTTTCAGAGCGAGACCCACCAGCCAGAGGCGCCACCCCCAGGCTCCATCAGCGCTAAAGCTGCCTGGCCTGGCTCAGGCTCTGGCCCTCGAGGGTGAGGGGGTGGGGAGGGGGCCTGCGTCCCTTGGCCGTGGTCCCCGTGCGCTGGGCCCCGCCTGGGCGGCGAGGATCCATGTGCTGACCTTCTGGTTTGTTCTGAATGCAGAGGCATCCTGAGCTCAGTACTTGGACGGGACAGAAATAAACACACACCGGGGCCGCTCCGCGCTGTAACCACGTTGCCCAGCGAGGAAGGCAGGTGCCACCGAGTGGCATCCGTCGCCACGGAGAGGCCCTGGGCGAGGTCTGAGCCCAGGAGAAGGGAGCAGCTGTGGGGTGCAGTTAGCAGAGAGGAGGGGCCGGGGGGGCCCAGGGTGAGGCGGGGTGCGTGGGCAGAGCCCAGGCCGGGCACGTGGTGTGGGAGAGACGGAGGTGGGCTTCTCCAGCCCCACCCGCCAGCCTCAGCCTTCTCCGGCTAGAAGCTGTTTCTTTGGGTCCCGGGGGGCACAGAGGACACACAGAGTGATGCTCAGCGGCAAAGCGCCTGCCTGGCAAGCGCAAGGTCGTGAGTTCGGTTCCCGGTACCGGAGAAAAACCAAAAACCAAAAACCAAAAACAAAAAAAGAAAGAAAGAAACAAGATCTCATGAAATTGCCCACGTGGGACTGAACTTGGGATCCCCCTGTCTCAGCCTCCCACAGTGCTGGGATTATAGAACTCACATTTTAATGGCTGATAGGTGTAGGTGTGTGTTACTTTGCTGACCCTGTCTCCAATCCATGAATATTAGGGTGGTTTGAATTTTTGCTACAGTAAAATATCCCAAAATAATTGCCCCTCCCCTGTGTGTATCATTGTATACTGTGAGATAGTTTCTGTCTGATATACTCTTAAAAGGAGGTTTACTGGGTCTGAAGCTATCCACATTATTTATTACTATTATTATTATCATCATCATCATATTATTATTATTATTATTATCTGGGTTCTTTGAGACATAATCTCACTATGTGGTGAGATTCAGGCTGGCCTTGAACTCACCATGTCACTCAGGCTAGCCTTGAATTTATGGAGATCGTCCTGCCTCAGCCTCCCAAGTACAGGGATAACAGACATGTGCTTCCAAGCCTGGGTAACACCTGGTATTTGAGGTTCTTATTCAAGACTCATCTATGGGGCTGTGGGCTCTGACAGCTCCTTTCTCTGGGTGCTACTTGGAGAATGAGTCATCCGGAGCACACAAAATAGGTGCTCCTGGGTCAGCCACCGCAGCCGTGAGAAGGGACTGGGGCCCCGGCTCACTCCCCGAGGTTTCCCCGGTCACTGAGGAGGGATGTTGAGTCTTAGCGGGTCTCGGGGCTGCGTGTGCTGGCGGCAGGCGCCTGATATGCTGCATTTGTGAAAGCAGTTGGCGATAAACTTTAAAGTTCATATTCTCTGACCTCATAATTTTACTTCTTAGACTGTGGGGCAAAAAAATCATTTGAGAAGTTTGCAGAAGCCACATTCACAGATGCTCATCACAGCCACGTCTCTGCTGCCAAACATTCCCAGCGACCTCTGTGGTGCGGAGCAGGGGATGGTTTGCTTAATTACACAGCTGCACCAGGGGCGGGGTGCACACCTGTGATCCCAGCAGTCGGGAGGCTGAGGCAGAAGGATGGCCGTGAGTTCGAGACCAGCCTGGGCTACACAGTGAGTTCAAGGCCAGCCTGAACTCCATGAGGAGACTTTTCCCAGAAACAAAAGAAAACAAAAAAAAAGCCACGTTCATATCCTGCTGGCTTGGCCCTCTGCTAGTGACAGCAGAACCATACTCCTAAGCCTGCCTCTGACCAACACCAAACCTCCGAACAGAAACCATCCCTGGAAAAGGCACGAATCTTTCCCGTAAGTCCGTGCTCAAGAGCACATCTGAGTTCCCCGGAACTTTTTCCACCTCCACGTACGTAAGGAAAGTACTAACGCTGACTTCTAACAACGGCTCCCAGAGGCCTCTGCGCCAGGCAGCACCTCCCCGACGCTCTCCTCCTACCTTCTCCTCGGATGGGTAGAAGCCGATCGCCCGCATGACGAACGGGACCTCGGCCAGGCAGATGTGCTCGGACACCTTCCTGGTCTCCATGGTGTCGATGCCCTGGCTGCGGATCTGCGAGTAGAAGAAGTAATCTTCCAGCTCCTGTGAGGTGGGGGGTGAGACGGACGTGGTCAGCGTGGCCGGCCCATCCTCAGAGGCCGCTGGGGGCTGCTAGAAAGCACCCTGGAGCTGGGCAGGGGAGTGAAGCAGGGGAGGCTCGGGCACAACCCTCTCACCACTGGAATCATGGGTACCAGGGAGCCCTGCCCCGGGGCACGGTTACCCTGTAGAATCTTCCTTCCCTGCCGCCCGGCACCAGGCCGTAGAACGGGGTCAAGTCTTCACCCCCAAGAGAAACGGCGGCGTCCAGGGCGCTGGAACCAAGAGAGACAAGACCGTTAGGTAGCACTCAGCGCCAGCACTGCGCCAGACAGTCGGGGCCGCTCCACTCGGGGGAGACGTCCCTCCGTCCCTTGGTCCCTCCATAATGAAGCCTAGGACAGAGAGCTCAGTATCAAGCGTGGGGCTTGGTGGCACAGGACACCTGCCTAAGTGACAGTGAAGACAGGCGTGTGCCGGGCAACGTCTGCCACGGCGGGGACCGAGTCTCTCCGGAGGCCGGGTGGCGCTCGAGTTCCGAAACTGCATCCTTCCCGCCGGCAGCCCGGCCGAAACTTTGGCTGCGGGACTCGGGCCCAGAGGCCGGGCCCAGAGGCCGGGCCCAGGGGCGGCTGCCAACGCTAACTGCCGCCATAAAAACTTGGGAGACCACAGGGACCTGTGCCAGGCCGACAAAAATAACCCTCTGCTCTCTAACTCGGGGTCACAGTCTCCGAAAATAGGCCCTGGAAAGGTAAGAAAACCTACTTTTGTGTAAGGCAGACTTTCCCCTGCGGGAAAGCTGGTCACGTGTTCCTCACGCTCCACTGCCGGCCTCCTGCGGCTCAGACCGGGCGGGACTGAGCTCGCCAGAGCACCGGGCGGCCGCAGGGTGAGGCTTGTGTGAGGATGCCGTGAGTGGCTCCTTCTGCGCTATCCTCAGCGGTGTGCGGTGGACTCGGAGCTCTGGGTGTGAATCCCAGCACCGCCCATTGCGAGCATGAACCCTCAGGGTGAGTTTTTTCATTTTTTTCCTTTTTTTTTTTTTTTTTGAGATAGCGGCTCCAAACCTTGCAGCCTCATGCTGGGGACAGCGGCTGAGGGGGCCGTGTCCCTGTTCCCCACCGGGCAGCCACACGGGGTCTCGTGACCTCCTAAGCCTGGCCGCGGACTAGCTGCCCAAGTTGAGCCCCCAACACTTAGAGTACGACGTGAGGTCACTTCAGAAAAGGGAAGTGACACTTACTGAACACCTACTGCACCTGGCAACAGATCAGTACTTCTGGGTGACTGCCTGACCCTCAGGAAGCTGGGGGCTGCTCAGGAAATGCCCATGGGACAGTGGGACCACTGACCTCACAGCCACTCTGTGATGACATTCAGCCAGGACACTCCCATTCAATGTTCGGAGAACTGAGACTCCACCCCATTAAGGGATTTGCCTGCTGCCATCCCCCGGGGAGGTGGCAACGCCCCGATGAATGCGGGGAGAAGAGGAAGTAGCGACCTTGAACATTAAAACGGGACGGGAGATTTAAAAACACTGCCTGTGATCCTAGCTACTTAGGAGGCTGAGGCAGGAGGATCACAAGTTCAAAGCCAGCCTGCGCAATTTAGGGAGATCTTGTCTCAAAATAAAAAATACAAAGGACTCAGGGTGCAGCTTCACAGTAAGTGCCCCTGGGTTCCACCCCTGGTACCACACAAAGAAAAGAGACGAAACGAACAGGTTCCAGACAAGAAGGGGGTTATGCTGGCAAAGACGGGAGGAGGGGTCCTGGGGCCCGAAGGTTTGTGGGACAAGGACCGGGACTCTAGGCCTGAGCTGACTGACGTCTCGGAATCTGAGGGGATTTACCGTCTCCTCATCCCCTGCAATGCTGCCACCGGGAACCTAGCGGGGAATCTGTTTACTCGTAAGGGTTTTTACGTTTCTTTCCATTAGCGAAGCACTGAACATATTAAGTCACCAGAACCAGCAATAAAGTGCTAATTAGTTTATAATGATCCTTTGTCCCCAAACAGATTAAACTGAAACGCTCAGATGTCTGGACGCTGGCCAGGCCCAGGGAAGAACTGCAGAGCGGAGCAGGTCCTTTTTTTAAAAAAAAATCTCTGTATTCCAGATCCCAGGAGGACTGAGCAGCGCACAGGGACGGGAAAGGGTCTCCGCCCGGCGTCGCTCGCCCGGGGCTGTGGGTACAGCCCAGGCCACAGAGGCTCAGGGGCTCAGGAGGAGACAGGATCGGCAAGGGCTCTGGAGGGAGAGCTTGGCCCGGCCTGGCGGCCCAGCCCGCATCTGTGCCCTGGGCAATGGCAGAGGTGAGCGTTGGCGCTGCCAACCGAGCCGCCAGCTCCGCCCGCTCAGATCCGGGTGAAGTGGAGAAGGCCCAGCGTTGTGTAAGGAGGGCGCAGGCGGAGCAGCGCGTGGGGCAGGCAGGCGGGAAGAGCTGCCCGAGTCTGGGAGCTGGGTGCCCACCGTGCCCTCCCGCTTCAGTGAGGAGGAGCTGGGGCTCAGGGCGAGGGAGGCCGCCAGTGACTGCGCGAGGACTTGGCACCACGCACGGTGCTCCTCCAGCGCTGACCACCTGACCCTGATGGAGCCTATCCAAGTCCCTCGTGTTACGGACAAGGAATCCAAGGATCAGAGAGGGGTTTTGTTTTTTTGAGACAAGGTGTCCCTGTGTAGCCCAGACTGGCCTTCAACTCCTGGCAGTCTTTCTGCCTCAGCCTCCCAAGTGCTGGGAGTACCGGTTTAGGATCAGGTAAGAAAGCTGCCCTATGTCCACAGCCAGCGAGAGCAGGCCCCTTATTCACACCCTCATGAGGCAGTATGACAAGCGTTTCAGGCACCGGGGAGGCCAGGGCGCTGCTGCGGAGACCGCACGGTGCCTCTGTGCTAACGTGAGACGTCACTGGGGCACCCTGAGGCCAGGCCCTGTGATGCCAGCGTAGTGTCTGTCGTTCCACCACAGCCTGTGGCTGCGCCCTGGATTCCCGTCCCTGCTTTTTCCCCCAGTACTGAGGATGAACTCGGGGGCTCCGAACTACATGCCCAACGCCTCAACATTTTTTGTTGTTTGTTGTCTCAACGTGTAGCCTCCTGCCTCAGCCTCCCCTGGAGCTGGGTTTCCTGTCTGCTGCTGCCAGGTGAAGGGGAGCCCACACCCGCACGCACCTCAGGGTGATCGTCCACTGCACCACCGAGCGGTCCTGTCCTCCCGCCGTGAAGGCGAAGCGGCCGTCGTAGGACAGGGCCAGCCCCGCCACGCCGTTCGGGTGGCAGACCATGGCGCACGTCTTGTGCGGGTTGCCATCCACCGGTAGAATCTGCAGCCCCACCTGGACGGGAAGATGGAGCTGGGGTTCAGGTGGCCCCAGACCAGGCCTGGCCTGGCACACCATGCGTCACCTCCCCACCCACGTGCTGGAGGGACCTGCGCCACCCGGGCCACCCTGGGTGAGAACTGTGTGTAAACAGCCGGCCGTGCACACGGACGCTCTCCGCCTGTTCCCAAGTCAGGAGCCCCAGGCTTTCCAGAATATTCTCACAACCTGTGGCTCTACACTTATCTACACGGGTGACTCACTAATCCCAGCATTCAAGGAGGCCGAGGCAGCAGAATCCCAAGTTCAAGCCCAGCCTGGCAATTTAGTGACTTAGCATGACCTTGTCTGAAAATAAAAAATAAAAGGGTTGGGGAGGTAGCTCAATGCAAAGGCCCTGGGTTCAATCCCCAGTGCCACAAAAACAAAGCACAAATAAGTGTAACTAATGTGTGTGACTTTATAAGGTTTTGGCTTTGTTTTTGGTTTTTTGAGACACAAGATCTCCTTATGTAGCCCAGGCTAGCCTCAAACTCCAGGCAATTCTCCTGTCTCAGGTTTCAAAAGATTTTTTAATCCTTTTTATTTTTTAAGATAGGATCTCACTATGCAGTTCAGGCTGGCCTTGAACTCACTTTGTAGACCAGGCTGGCCTCAAACTTGCAGCAATCCTCCTGCCTCAGCCTCCTGAATGCTAGAATTACAGGTATGAGCCACCACACCCAGCCCTCATTAGGATTTTTTTAAACAAGAAAGAAAATTGCCTTTGTTGGGTCATGTGTCTTCACTGGGGGTATAGAAAATATGGGAACTGCTAGAAAATGTCTCCCAGTCACCCGTCCCTCCAGTCCACGGTCCTTTCCAGGAATCCACTAACCCAGACAGGAGCAAATAGAGCCTCACAGTCCAGCCACCCCCTGGGGACAGGGCTACCTTGTCTCTGTTAATGAACACCAGGTAGCGCTTCTGCAGCTCTGGGGCCGTTCTCACGGGGAGGACTTGCGCTTGCTCGATAGGAGACCCGTACGCCGGCCCGAGCAGCGTCTTCCTGGATGACAAAGGACACCCAGCTGCAGACTCCTCGGATCTGAACACGAGCCCTGAGACGGGCCGGCTCAGTGCCCTCACCCAGCTTTCCCTCTACCCTTCCTGTCTGTTCCTCCGCTAGCCCAGGCTGGCCTCCAACTCAGGCCAATCCTCCTGCCTCAGCCTCCCAAGTGCTGGGATGACAAGTGGGTGCCATGACCACGGGCCCATTTTTTATTGTTAATTGTATTTTTTATTTCTCTTTTTTGAGGGCCTATGAAATAAAAAATGACGCAGGCTTCCCACACCTGGGTCCGGCCCTGTGGAAATCCACAGGCGCTGCATCTTCACTTGCGTGGCCTCCCTGGTAGGGTGATGGTGCCTGGTGGGCGTGGGCCAGGCAAGGAGGCGCCACCTCAACCCCAGCTTGGTCCAGCACCTGGCCATGGAGTCAGCCGCTGAGGACACAGTGCGAGTGAGGTGGCTGCCACCCCGGGGGAAGGAGAACCGTGGCACGTGGGGCTGAGAGGCAGAGGTGGCCCTGAGGGAGGAAGGACAGTAGCTAGGCAACAGCCGTGCCGCGCTGGGACGTGGCTCCGGGATGCTGAGAAGCAGAGGTCAGGCAGGTAAGGGGACGGCAGCAAGGGAGGTGAGGAGGCAGGGACACAGGACACAGCCTGAGATGCAGCGGTCTGCACGTCTCTTGAGAGCTGAGACCCAGCAGTTCGCCCCCCACATCTGCACCCAAAAAATGAAACGCAGGTCACACACGGTGCCATTGCAGCTTTCACAATCACCACAAAGCGAACACCACCCAGATGGCCATTGGCTGAGTAAGACAAAAACAAGCCGGGAGTGTGGCACACGCCGGTAATCCCAGCACGTGGGAGGCTGAGGCAGGACGATCCCTGTGAGTTGGAGGCCAGCCTGAACTGCATAGCAAGACCATCTCAAAAAAAAAAAGAAAAAAGAAAAGAAAAGAAAAGCCGCACGTGCGCAGCCACACAAGTGTGGGGGAGGTCAGCTGTGGAGAGGAGCAAAGCCCCGGCTCCCACCTGGCATGTGCAGGCACTGAAAACAGGAAGTGAAAGAAGCCACACACGAGCAGGCACACACTGGTGATCAAACGTATGTCAGTTTCAGTTCACACGGAACAGACAAATCACCAGCAGGGAGCTCGTCGGCTTCCAGGTGCCAGGGAGGGACAGCCGGTGAGTACCAGATTGACTGATTGATTTTTCCAGTACCAGGGTTGAACCCAGAGCTTTTGTATTAGTCACACTCCCTAGCCCTTTCTAAAAAAATTTTTTTTTAATTTTTAGTTTTGAGACAGGATGCTCCCTAAGTCACTAAATTGCCCAAACTGGGCTTGAACTTGTGACCCTCCTGCCTCAGCCTCCCAAGTTGCACCACCATCCCCCCAAATTGAGCCGCCATACCCAGCTGTTTTTCTCATTTCTACAAGCAGCACTGGAAGCTTTGTGCTCCAGGGTCCCTGCAAGCCACTCTCTAACCGAGCTCCTGTTAGTGGACGTAGAAGCTTCCATTTGCAATGGATTTTCCAGCAAGCGACCCTTTTGCGTGTGGCTTGGCGTCCCTGCTTCCACGGCTCTGTTCCTAGAAGCTGGGGGCTGGGGTAAGTTTAACAGAGGGCGACAAACTAGCGCCCACAGCAACCCCACCCCGTGCCCTCGCCACCGCTGGTGCCACGGGTCCTTGTGTCTCTGCGGATCCGGTCGGGGGAAACGCATCTCGCTTCTGCTCCGCCAGCCAGCACCCGCGCTCTTGCTTACAGCCTCTTTCTCTGAACGCCTTTTCATGCTGTTTCAAATATCTCTAAAATGCATTTTAAAAATTCTTTTGGATTTCTCATAAAAAGCCAACTCCTCCTCACTTAAACTGTGGTTATGAGGCTTTGTATTCTTACAATTTAAAAGACGCTTTGTGCCAGGGCTTTTATTCTGGAAGGGCTGGAATGTTCTGGAACCAGATGGAGGTCGTGGTTGCGCACTGAATGTTCTAGTTGCTGCTGCATCATTCATCTGATTTGATTTGACTGAGTCATTCATTCTAAAACGGCTGGTTTTATGTTATATGCATTTTACCCTGATAAATCATTCTCAAAAGTTGTATGAGCTGGGTGTGGCGGCGCACGCCTGTAATCCCAGCACTTGGGAGGCTGAAGCGGGAGGATTGCTGTGAGTTTGAGGCCAGCCTAAGCTACAAAGTGAGTTCAAGGCCAACCTAAACTGTATAGTAAGGTTGCCTCAAAATGACCAAAAAAAAGAGAAAAAGAAAAAGAGGAAAGTTCTATGCTAGTGAGGTGTGGTGGTAGAGGCTAAGATAGGAGGATTGCCAGTTCCTAAGAGAGACTCTGACTCAAAATAAAAAATAATAACTGTTAGCAGGAATTGCCAGCCTAAGCCATGCTGTCCCTATTCTTCTGCCTCACAAATTTTATAGTTTCTCAGGACTAGAAAGAACAGGATATTAAAAATGTATGTGTCCAAATAGCCAGGCATGGTGGTGCACACCTGTAATCCCAACACTCAGGAGGCTGAGGCAGGAGGATTGCCATAAATTCAAAACCAGCCTGAACTACATAATGACACCCTGTCTCAAAACTTCAAAGCAAAACAAAGAAAGCAAAAAGTGTGTCCATTAACAACAATACACAGAAGTCCTGAAATCATCCTACAACTCTTTTTTACACATTCTTTCAGGTGTGTTAGTAGTTTGTTGCATTTTTTATTTCTTTTTTATTCATTTACTTTTTGTGGTTCTTGGGATTGAACCCAGTGCCTTACTCCCTTTTTTTATTTTGAGATAGGGTCTCACTAAGTTGCCCAGGTGATACTTGAACTTTCAGTCCTCCTGCCTCAGCCTCCCTCAGTGCTGGGATTACAGGTGTCCATCACCATGCCCAGCCTGTTTTAATAGTTTTTTAAACACTGGCAATGGATTTCTCTTGCTGCTGTATGAGATGGCAACTGTTAATCATTCTGAGTGCCTTTTGGAGAAGAACGGTTAAGGAAAAGCGATACTGGGGTGGCCCTGGCCCTCAGAGCCACGGGCTCCCCCAGCTGCTGCCGCCGGTCCCCCTCACCCCGCTCCCACGGGCCCCACAGCCCCACTGACTGTCGCTGGCACGGTCCCAGCCTGGCCAGCGCTCACCTGCACATCTTGGTGGTGGAGTTGAAGAGCTTCACCTTGTAGCCGCTGTTGCAGACGAGCAGGAAGAGCTCCTTGGTGAGGGGCGGGTACCACACCATGCAGGTCGGGTGGTGGCCCTGGTCGGTGCGGTGGATGTCCAGGACTTCCAGGTGGTCCTTGTGGCTCCGACTCAGGTTGTACTCTATCTGCAGAGCGGCGGGCGACACCCCTGAGCCGCAGCTCAGCGCGGGTGGCGGCCTCAGTGCCATGCTGGGGGATAGGGTCGGGTCGCTGGAGAGCCCTGACACCCCGTGAGCCGCTATGGCTGGGCCCCAGCGGCCGGGGGCGCTCTGAGGACGGGGATTTGCCGCCGGGGCGGGGCCGCGTGGTGGCGGGGCGGGAGAGAACGCGCCATCGGACCGCGGAGCCGGCTCACCAGCAGCCTGTCTTTGCCGAGGCTCAGCAGTCGCGGCTCGTTGCTGTCCAGGTAAACCCCGAACAGGAGGCTGCGGATGCTCTGGCGGTGCGAGCGGAGCCTGGCCAGGTACTCCCAGAGCCTGCGCCCGCCGCGGACCACCACGGTGTACACGGCCACGGTGAAGCTCAGGTCCTGCCCAAGAGCAAGGCGGCGCGTGACCCCTCCCCAGGGGGCACGCAGGAGTCTTCGCTCTGTTTCTCGTGCTAATTTTACTTTCACAAATATTCTACCCGAGAAAAGTACATCTGTGAGGCCGAGTAGGAGGAAAATGCCCATTTTACCGATGAGAAGCTGAGGTTCCAAGTGGATGAAGGGAGGAGGGAAGAGGGCGGGGCCCTGACACCATGGTCTGACCTCTCTCCCAGCTCCCTCCTCCTCCATGCAAAACCAAGAGCCGGTTCATTGTGCCTCTGCCCCCTTCTTCGGCAAGGCAAATGACAAAGGTCTGACACAGCCAGGGAAGGAGCGAGTGGTCGCCCGAGGCAGGTACAAAGCTGTGGGCGTGAACCGCAAGGTGGCACCACCCGGTCACTGCATCCCCCCTGGGCAGAAAGGCACACAGCTGGGGGGTGAGGTCAAAGGTCAGAAACCCTCTTTCCTGAGATCCCAGGCCCCATTCACAGGGGGAGGAGCAGAATCCAAACACTGAGTCAATAAGAATGTCATCTTGTCAAAAAAGAGAGGGCTAGCCTATGACCCCAGCACTGTAGGAGGCTGAGGCAGAAGGATCTCAAATTGGCCCTGTATCAATATAAAAAATTATGAAAGGACTGGGGATGGAGTGGAGTGTGAAGGTCCAGCCTTGTCCAGAGGTAAACGTTCCCTATCTGCACACCCCCTCCTCAGCAGGTGACAGTCCTACTGAGACGTGACTGACGGCACGCTGCCCATGCGTCATCACGGTCCTCACCGCTTTCGCCCCATTTCCCGGGCCCGATCCTCCACGTCAAAGCCACCTGGGAGGCCGGCGCCAGGACTTACGGCAGTAGCCATGTACTGGGAGTCGTGGGAGAAGCTGACGTGCGTCACGCTGCTTCTGGAGTATTTGAAAGGCTCCGGGGTCTCATTCTGCAGAGACATCGCATCGAGAATGTACACCGTCCCCTCGGTGAAGCCAGCTCCCAGCAGGGCCCCTGAAATGACACCGGGAGGACAGTCCGAGAAGGACCTCAGACTAAGCGTGAGCCCGAGTGTCCCGGACAGAGACTGAGATGCGTGGCGCGGGGCGCGCTCTGGGGCAGGACTAGGCCTGGGGGTGGGGGTCCCGGAGAGGCCGGCCGGCCCGTGCGGGTGGGGTCACGCACGGGCGACTTCCGGCACCCTGGAGCACCCCCAGCGGCTGGGGAGGGGGTTACCTTCAGGGTTGTAGGTCAGGCTCTGCACGCCGAGCCCCTTGTCGAAGACCCTGCTGAACAGGTACCTCTTCCGCTGGTAATCCCACACCTTGATCAGCCCACAGACGCTGCCCACAGCCAGCAGCGGCTGGTATGGGTGGCAGGAGATGGCGCAAACGGCGTCCTTGGGCTCCACGAACAATTTCTCGAGTCTGGTGCCATCTGTCGTTAAGTGGTACACCGTGGCATCAGATGTTGCAATGATGAAATTCCTGTTTGCCAAGGAGACGCCAAGCAGGATGAGCGTTTGCGGGGAAGGGAGCACGCCAGCTATTCTGCTTCTAATTGCACACAAAACGCCTCTGTCGTCTGTAATTTAGTGACATTATTAACCCAACAGCTCCGAAAATACACCACCAATAGCCAGCAGCCCCCATTTGCAAGTGAAAAAAAGGCCACTTTTCAACATGGAAATGGAGTCATTAAGTATGCAGATGGACAGTGGCTGGTACAATTAGCTAATCTGCACATGCAAATATTCATTTGTGTATGCAAATACGGAGCTGGGTGCACACATACAGATGTGCCCGGAAAGACTGCAAGGGTAATTAAGCAGACTCACAGATAATTCGGTCTGGAAATGTTACGGCTATTAATCACCCGTGCCTTTAACCACCAAGGCTAGGACGGGCTAGGACAGGCTCGGCCCGGAGAGGGGAGACCCACCAACGGCCAGGGCTGAGAAACTAGAGCTGGGGCGGGGATCCTCCCGCTTCCTGTCACCCAGCTTCTTAATATTAGAAAAATTCCATGCTAATTCACAAAACAGTTCAATAGTGGTCGCAGCCGGCCACAGCCAGCCATCTGCAAGCCAGGCAAAGGACGAGGCAGGCCAGTCCCTGATTCCATACCCTGGGAACCAGAGGGACAGCTCGCTGTGTACCAACGAAAGACCACAGCAGCAGTTTTCCACGGCCGAATGACCAGTGCATCAACAACCTACCTGACGACAAAAAGGTCACCTTTCAGGGTGCAGTCCGGGGGGAAGTTTGCGCTCTGGTGCATGCTGGCCGCACTCTGCGAGAAGGACAGGGTCCGGATGCAGCTCAGCTGGAGGTGGCTGTACCAGTGAGCGATGGATAGGGTCTGATCGTAGAACTTGATGTGGCCCTTCACATCCCCCGTGACGATGTAGCTGGAACGGAGAGTGCATCGGCTGGTCAAGTGGCAGGACTCGCAAGCACCATCTACTACATACTCCTTATGCCAGGCTCTGGGCTACAGGCGTCGTGAAAGCTTCATCTAGTCTTGCCCAGTGAGGCTGATTTCAGTGCCTTTTTTTTTTTTTTTTTTGGACACAGGGTCTCGCTATTTAGTTCAGCCTGGCCTTGAACTCACTATGTAGCCCAGACTGGCCTGGAGCTCTCCGTGATTCTCCTGCCTCAGCCTCCTACGTCCTGGGATTACAGGCGTGTGCTGCCGTGCCTGGCTCACAGTTGACCCACTTTCTGTCTAGAAACTTAAGGCTCTGAGAAGTTAAGAAACTTTCCCCACGGGACTGAGGCTGCCATAGGAAGAAA